TCCCTCGGGAGCTGTTGGGGACAAATGAGCGTGACCAACAGAGCAAAGCTAAAAATAGAACTGAAGGGGACAGGGGACACCCTGAGGGACAGGGGGGGACACTGTCCCACGGTGGATGGCATTGTCACATTAGGGTGGCACTGTCCCCTCAGGGTGTCCCTGTCCCCATCAGTGTCCCTGTCCCCATCAGTGTCACTGTCCCATCAGTGTCACTGTCCCATCAGTGTCACTGTCCCCATCAGTGTCGCTGTCCCCATCAGTGTCACTGTCCCATCAGTGTCACTGTCCCGTCACTGTCCCCATCAGTGTCACTGTCCCTGCAGTGTCACTGTCCCATCACTGTCGCTGTCCCCATCACTGTCCCTGTCCCATCAGTGTCGCTGTCCCATCACTGTCGCTGTCCCCATCACTGTCCCTGTCCCATCAGTGTCGCTGTCCCCATCACTGTCGCTGTCCCCATCACTGTCCCTGTCCCATCAGTGTCGCTGTCCCCATCACTGTCGCTGTCCCCATCACTGTCGCTGTCCCCATCACTGTCCCTGTCCCCATCAGTGTCGCTGTCCCCATCAGTGTCACTGTCCCATCAGTGTCACTGTCCCTGCAGTGTCACTGTCCCCATCACTGTCACTGTCCCATCAGTGTCCCTGTCCCCATCACTGTCCCTGTCCCCATCACTGTCCCTGTCCCATCACTGTCCCTGTCCCCATCAGTGTCGCTGTCCCATCAGTGTCACTGTCCCATCACTGTCCCTGTCCCATCACTGTCCCTGTCCCCATCACTGTCCCTGTCCCCATCAGTGTCACTGTCCCATCAGTGTCACTGTCCCATCACTGTCGCCGTCCCATCACTGTCCCTGTCCCATCAGTGTCCCTGTCCCCATCACTGTCGCTGTCCCCATCACTGTCGCCGTCCCTGCAGTGTCACTGTCCCCATCAGTGTCACTGTCCCATCAGTGTCACTGTCCCGTCACTGTCCCCAGTGTCACTGTCCCATCACTGTCACTGTCCCATCAGTGTCCCTGTCCCCATCACTGTCCCTGTCCCCATCACTGTCCCTGTCCCATCAGTGTCGCTGTCCCCATCACTGTCACTGTCCCATCAGTGTCACTGTCCCGTCACTGTCCCATCAGTGTCACTGTCCCATCACTGTCACTGTCCCATCAGTGTCACTGTCCCCATCACTGTCGCTGTCCCCATCACTGTCACTGTCCCCAGTGTCCCTGTCCCCATCACTGTCGCTGTCCCATCAGTGTCGCCGTCCCTGGGCGTTGCTGTCTCCGCCGCAGCCGCAATCTCCGGCATCAGCGGCACCGCGGGCTCGCCCAGCTCGGGCTGTGGCCACCGAAACGTGGCCCCGGGGCAACCCTGATGTGGCATCATCCTGTCCCGGGCCACGACGGCGACATCCAGGCCGTGGCGGTGGCACCAAGCTCCCCTTGGCACCCGCCTTGTTTGTCCCCTTTGTCACCTCACCCCAATTATTCCTGCTCGGTGACGTCACCCAGGTGCTGCAGGTGCTGAGGGACCCCCAACCCCCA